GTTTCTGAAGAAAAATCAGCTATTATCTGTGCCATTATTTTGTTGTACATATAATGTCTTTTTTTTTTTTTTTTTGCAAATTCAAAATGAAGTTTATTGAGGCAGAGCAAGATACGTTTACAGAGCAAGAGCAAGATACATTTGCCCACAAACGTCGAACAGGCCCCCTGTCCTAACAAGAGGCCTCTCTCGTGATTTCTTTCCCTCCGTGTCTTTTTTCTCTGTTACTGGAACTGCTGGTGGTCAGATATTGGCTATTTTTCATCTCTTTGTCTTCTCTTCTATCTTCTGGGAGAGTTCCTCAACTTCTTAACCTTTAGATTTCAGCTCTTATAATATTTTTAATTTCCAAGAGTTCTTGTTCTCTGATTTTGTCTTTATCATATCATCCTATTCCTATTTTATGAGTACAGTGTTTTCCTTGTTTTCTATGAGGGTTTAAATAATAGTATCTTCCCTTTTTTTTTTTTAAGACAGGGTCTTGCTCTGTCACCCAGGCTGGAGTGCAGTGGTATCATCATAGCTCATAGCTCACTGCAACCTCAAACTTCTGGGGTCAAGTGGATCTCCTGCCCTAGCCTCCCAGGTGGCTGGGACTGCAGGCACATGCCATCATGCCCAGCTACGTTTTTATTTTTTAGTAGAGACAGGGTCTTTCTATTGCCCAGACTGGTCTAGAACTCCTGGCCTCAACAGATCCTCCTGCCTTGGCCTCCCAAAGTGTTAGGATTACAGGTGTGAGTCACCGCCCCTGGCCAGTATCTTCATTTAAAAAAAAAAATATTCTGCTTTCTGCGTTGTCTTTCTTCTAATTTTTTTTTCCCCAAATGGTGTTGCAGTGGGAGAAATTTAATCAATTTGGTTTTGTGGGGTTAGGAAGGGATTGGGTGGTCTGTTTCTTTTTCAGATTTTCAACTGATTTTATTTTCCTTTTTCAGAGGTACAGTCACTTCTTGCTGTTTCTGGTAGTTATGTTCTATAAAGTTGCTGAAAACACTGAATTAGCAAATAACCATTCTCCCTACGGGAAATACAGGGTTGGGTTCCTGTGAGCCTCCAGTCATAACATTTTTGTCAACTAATCAATACATAACCTTGTTTTATGTGTGTTTCTGTTTAAAGATACCTTATTTCATATATATTGTTGATTCATCAACATTGAACTCGTGGCCAACAGCTCTATAACTCAGGCCTGAATGAAGCTTATCTAACACTCGTATTTTGTCTATGAGACACATCACACAGCCTTCTCGTATTTACAGACACCTCAGCACTATGCTTAGGGGCCATTTGAAACAGCGAAATCACTAACAAAAGGCAAAAAAATGCAAAAAACATGGCACTAAATAGACCACGAAAAGGACACTTGTGTATAATGTGAGAACTCAAACAAGAAGGCAGAGCGTCATCGTGTTCGTCCTCACCTGGGAATGTGTGCATCAGGCGACTCAAGTTTTTCAGCACTGCACATGTCTGTGAGTAACCACAAAAGCACCTGAGTATTGACTTTGGA